GTAGGAATGCCTCAATTCTTCTCAGTCAGTAAGAAAAAATATAAAAATTTTATCTCAACCATCAAGCTTTCTGCTATTTCTGCAATGGGCTGGCACAGAAGCTAACCATTTCCCTGCACCTACTTGAAAGTAAAGATCCTATACATCCTGAGACAGTATGGGAGACCCCGTAGAGTGTGGGTACGTCTCTGAGTGGATTATGTTTCAGGGCCTTGTAATATATCATCTAAAATGAATTTCATGAAGCATCTATAATCACATAACCACACCAACTCCTGGAAATGCTCTTTCATATCTATATAACAGACTTAAAAAATTCAAAATGTACAACTTGATCAAATTTGTCAATTACGATTTTAGTGAGAATCCTGAAAACATTTGCCTCAAACCCAAACCTGCAGAGGAAGACTCTAAGACTATTGGTTTGTTGATCACACTATTAGAAGGAGCACTGAGTCATGGATTCTAGAATGCTGCAATGGAGATATAAAGCATTTACACTAGGAAAATAAAAAAGTACTTTCAGAATAATTTACAAAGAATGAAGCTAGCACTTTAGCACTGTTTCATGCATTCAATATTTTTTCTTCCATAACCACTGAGAACCTTCTATTTGCCACAATCTTCACCAAAAGCTGCCTTATCTTACTTTTAAAGCAATCACTGAGAATATGATCTCTGAAGCCTTTTAAAAAGGAATGACAAATAGTAAAACCAATTAGATAGGCAGAGAACTTTTGTATTTTTTTAAAATTGTGGATAATTCTGCTGTAACAGATAAAAATGGAATTCAGATATGTAAAATCTCTTACTAATACCCATTTTCTGTTATCCCACTGTGTACAGTTTTAAGCATGGCACTCTCCTGGAATGGTGCATTGATAGTTAGATCCATCCCACTGGCTGTGTTATGATATCATGATGCCCCAGCTTCCTTTTGCCCTGTGTACCTTTCATGAGTTCATGTTACCAGAGACATTACTGTCTCCTTCCTGACTCAACTGTACTCCAGAGCCTTCCATGCTGACAACCAAGCTGGACTGGAAGTCCGTCAAGGATCATATGGAGAAAGAACAGTGACTTTGTACTGTTGCCCCATGGGCAGTACAGCTACACAGCTCTTTTGGTTGGCTTACATGCTGTTGAAGGCCATGCATTAGGGTCTTTCTACATTACTGTTGTATTTTATTATTTGTAAAAAACCCTCAAAATTCAGGGCAAACAAAACCAAACCACCACTTCAGATTACTTAGATGTTAGATAGATGAGAACACACATTTTTTCCTCCACATTTCTGTGTCTCATTTTTAAATGTATGTAATGATGAAAAATTTTGATTATTCAGTCATAGTTACGTCTTCTGGCATTGAGCTCCACCTTCCGACAAGTCTTTCAAGTATTGCAGAGCCTGCATACCAAGTCTCACTTTTATCAGTGGTGCCAGTGTAGTGCTGCAATACGCAAAATAAATCTATATGAAACATTTCTATAGTGAGAAAACCATATATTTTTAAATACATATTCTTAAAAATAATGGGTTTGCACCTTTGTAATACTTGGTTTTACCATGTAAGGAAAAAGGAGAATACATATTAATGTGGCATACAGATTTCACTGTATTATTGCTAAACAAAATTGATTACTATTTTATATTAACTAAAGCTATTGCCAGGTTTAAGCAGTCCCTGAAGATTTCCTATTCTGTAACAATTTCCAACTCAATACTGATGCTGTAATTTTAAAGTCTTACTATGAAATGCAAACCACTGTCACTGTACTTAATTACCTGAGTAAATGCTGGCACTTTAATATTCCAAATATTCCTGATGTTGTTATTTCTAATCAGCTCATTAGACATATAAAAGTTCTGTTGGTTTTGTTTTCTTTGTTTTAATTATGGTGGACTACTGCCTTGCTCTGTTGATCATATTAATAGCAAGAATAGCATATGTATCTTAAGACAAACAACAGGCCATACATCCATTGACTGAACATCTAAATACTGAAAAGTTAGTTCAAGCTTCCCGCTACTGGTTGACTTTTGTAAAGTGACATAATGTATACCAATTTGGACACTACAACATTTTGGCAAAAAACCAGCTGTTTAGAAGGAATAACCAGGTTTTTCTTAGTATCTATCTCCTTACTTTAACATAAGTATAGAAGAAAAAGTTAACTATGATTCTCCCAATTACATACTGCATAGTATCATAACTGCATAACTCTAAAGGGCCTAAAGACATTATTTTAAACTTGTAGCACCTTCAGCATTAAAATTATCTCTGTCTTGCATGGTTACCTCAGTAGAACGATATAAATGCTAGAAACAAGAAAATATGTCTTATTTTTCCATATATGATCATATGATGCCAAAATTATTAAATGCAATGTTCAGGAATGGCCAAAACCAGAATTGTTTTAGCTCCTTGCTATGCTATGATGATTGAACAAAACAGAATCATCTAGCAATTTCCTTTTTCCTTAAAATGTTTGCATGAACATCAACACACAGCTAACATTCTACAAACAATAAAATGTATTGACCAAACTAAACCATATTGAAGACACTAACAAAATACGAAACTTCCTACAGTTAACAGAAGCAAAAAAGAACAAGGAAACAAAGGAAGTTATAACACACACATAACATAACACTATCTATAAAAACACATCAAACAGCATTTCAGAATTTCATTCCTTGTTAGTATTCTATTGTACTGTTAACTAATGTAAGAGATGGAAAACAAAACAATTTGCACATTATTCCACTATGAAATTGGCTGTATTTAGATGATACCTTATAATACTTAAAGAAATATTAAACTTTACAAACGTGCTTTTTAATTTTAAATTACCAAAAAAAAATCCACTTGTGACTGAATACATGAAAATGTACTTCATATGCATGCTCACAACAAGAGCCAATTATGATTTTGTCATTCTTAGGAAACGAATTTGTAAAACAAGTGTTTACAATATATTTCTGAAGAGGAAAAAATGACCACATTCAAATATTACATCAGACAACATTTAGGTGAACTGCTTTTAGATAAAGATGAGAAACCTAAATGGATTTATAGCTGAAGAAACAACGATCTTCCTGAATATCAGGATGACCATGAGCAGCAAGAACATTTCATTTCTGATCATTTAGCACCTGTGTGATTTTAAGGAGCTTTACTAAAAAAAAAAAAAAAATCCCACTATAAAAATGACCAGGATGCTTATTTATACAAACAGCCCATCAGTGTATTATTTTCTCATCTTGAGATACAGTCAAGACTGCCCTCTCAAGGCACAGCAATTTCAAAAAAGTTTAATTTAGACTGCTGTGGTATCTACAGCTTTTTAGTCAATTTGACTGACACAGGATATCAACTTAATAGTTAAACAAAACTTAAGTGGTATTTGCCTGTCTTAAATGACTTATTCAAGGGAAATCACCCAGCAAGTAAGTCATATTCCATTATTTTTCATGGTACATATAAATTATAAGACTAAACACTCTGAAGCCAAAATAGCAACATTTTTCTTACTCTCAGTACATTTAATATACGCAAAAATGTATGTCTTGCATCATTCTTGAAATCTCAGTATGTATCTCCTCCAGCAAAAAAGAAGATAAATTATCATAGATAACTTTTATTCAAAAAAAATTAAGAGGTCAGAATTCTTCACTATGTATTGTATATATATGCAAAGATTATTTTCTCCCACCCATTGAAACACAGCTTTGGACACCAGAGGACAGACTTTAGTAATCTTGAACTGAGCTGGAAAAATACCGTTCTCTTGATTAGAATCATCATCTCAACTAACCCTTACAGACAATATTCTCTAGCACTATTACAGGTTGTTACATGAACTAACTAATAAGATAGCCTACCCCAAAAAGATTCCAAGCCTCCTAACCTTTCACAATCATTATCCTGATCCCTCCTTTCTCCTTCTCCATCTTTGGGTGCTTTATCAACTCCTCCTAGATCATGACCAGCACACAAGCTTTGTAAACTAATGTTTTGTACCAGTGAAAATGGCAACCATCTGGTAGTGCCTTTCAAATACTAAACAGTGGTAGTGGAAGCAAGAGAATACTGACAATTAAGTATAACTGTAGAATGGAAATGAAGAAAACTCAAACTTGGTTCCACAAATAGATAGAGAAAACAAAAGTATTCCTCTCAGATACAACCATTTCATTATCATTTCACTGAGCTACTGCTCTGTGGGCCAAAAGAAATGGCAGGTTAAACCTCTGAAGAAAACAAGTCACAAGCATCTCATATATGTCAAACCTAATCCATAAAACCAAACACTACTGCTCGTCCCTTTAGTAAACAGGTACTGTTTGTTTGCTTTTTTATGTGGCCTACTATCTCTACACATAGCTGCATACAATTGAGAAAAGGAAGCCACATGAAGTATTAACAAAGTAAAGTACTTATTTAAATTACATGGGGTCTCATCAATAGCACAAAAAGTTCCTTCTGATTAGTAGAAGCATGTAAATATTTAAAAATAAGTTGCAAAGAAACCTGTGTTTGTTTCTGTTTAAAGAAAAGAGTAATTACAGTACATAACATTCATTTCTCAGTTACACAGTACGTGCCGTGATTCCAACAGCTTTTACTGTTAGTTTTCTATCTACAACTGTGAATGAATTTCCTCAACACAGCCGATGAAATTACCAATAGCTACCCAGTCATGTTTACAAAATCTATTTAAGGATTTACACTTGTGATTATAAAACAATCTAATGAGAATTTAAGCAACAAGTGTGCAGAAGACCAAACCAAGTCCACAGACATACAGAGGGTGTTAAAAGTTACTGCAACTTAAAAAAATCACACAACTGAACTGTTTTTCTAAACAAGTCTCCACAAATGCAAAGTGAAGTTTATTCATTTCAGTCATCCCTGTGAATATCTTAAGATTCTGATCCCAGGACTAAAGTACAATGGCAAGGCTGCACAATTCAGTAAAACAGATGTAAAACTTACCATCGAAGTGACTGATCTGGCATCTTCTTCATAATTCACTACAGGTGGTGGCTCTTTCCCATCATTCTCTTGAACCTTTTGTTCCAGTAGTTCTTTCTGGGCTGCAAATTTTGCCTCAGAGCATCTTAATTGCTGAACTGTTTGCTTAAGTTCTTCCAGCGCTTGCTTTTGGCTCAGCAAGAGTACAATACTGCAGAGAAAAATAACAAACATTTTAAAAACACATATTATTTAAAATACATACTTTGTTTCATAAAAGCTAAAAAACAAAACAAAACTAAACTAAACTAAAAAAAAAAAACCCAAACATCTTCAATACTGGAACCTGTTTTTCTTTTTTTCACTTAATCCATTAATTTAACAGAGGAAATTTTACTACACTTTTCAAAGTAAGAGCATGAAAATTCCTCAACAGAATTATGTGTTCAAAGGCATAAACACATCAGGCAATTCTAGAAAATTTTCAAAGCTACAAGACAATGCAAGCAAACACCTAGTTAGCCAGTCTCTTTTCTCAATCTATCACAACAATAATGTAATAAATATAGATGAAACTATTATTTTTGTCCACTTTTGATTGAATTTATAAACTCTAAGATTCCTCATCTGTTAAAGAAGAAATACATTTTTAGATTATGATTTCCAGTGATGAGAAATCCACTGCAATCCACATAGTTGTAATAATAATTTGCACTACTAAACTCACCTTACATCCAATATAAATTCGTCTGGTGTCAAAAGTTAGAGATATCTGTTGTCTCTTCTGGACTGAAAGGTCCTCTACTGCATAAGTACTTCTGGACTGCAGTCTAACATTCTTCTTATGAAGCTAAATAAATTGATCTCCATGAGGAGCTAAAAGAAATTTTTTCTTGTCTTCTGCATGTTTTTATGGCTGTTCTCTAAATACCTCTCATACCCCTGAATACTCCAAGACAGGCATAATTCAAGGATTACTGAAGGACAAGCAGAACACTTAAAATATCTACAGCTACCTAGATGACTATTATCCCCAAGAACTGTCAAAACCAAAGATGGACAGAAGCTGCCTAACAGACAGAACCATCCACAGTACAACAGACACCCTTAAAAGCACTCAAGTGGAGCCCAGCAACATGTGGTCTACAAAGACATGCAGAGTTCTCACAGTCTGCAAGAACAGATGAATGAGGTAGAGGGACCAGAACTATGAAGAATGAGGACAGTAAAGAAAAACCACAGAATTCTGTCACTCTGTATCTTCAGGATAATCCCTGGAAGACAGGCCCTTCTGCAAGCCTTACCCTTAGAGAAAAAAAGAAATGTAAAAGTCATTGATATTGGGATTGTTCCTTCACAAACTGATGCTGAGCCAAGTGACTATTCAAACAGGTTCCAAAGTGGTAAGGGAACCATCTGTCACAGAATTCTCACTGGCAGGAAAAGATAAAAATCATATCCCTATAGATGAGCATTGTACTAAGTCACCAAAGAACAGAACTCCTTACAATGAGCAGAATGATCATTCATGTAAAAAGGATTAAGTATGATGTATGAAGACACAGTTAGAGGACCTGAAACTGAGGTTTGACATGAGACTGCACACATTTAAGAGCACCACACAAAAAGATGAACAATTATCCTCAAAATAATATTCTTTCATCTGGTCCTCAATATGAGAGACAAAAGAGACCACCCTGTGAAAATGATGGCCTTCCACCATCAGCAGGGCTTTGGTAAACACACATTGGCTAGAACGACAACATCCCAAACACTGAATGGTTTCAACTCATCAGGATCCAGAGATAAGAAGGTATACCCTGCAAGTCAAGTCATGAGCTATTCTCTTTCCTGAACTCTGGCAAGATGGATTATTGTCTAATCAGTTTACCCAAATCCAAAACAGAATGCTCCCTATTCCATCTATGCATGAGGAATTAGAACCTACAAAATTATTTGCCTATGGCTTGCATGAGTGCAAACTTTATAGTCCTTGTGGGTAGCAAGAGCTACTAGCAATCTCACAGAGTGAGATCTTGTGTGAAGAATCCTTGCAAGACCAGAAGAGGGCAACAGGTTGGGAAGTGGTAAAAAGGTGAACCAAATCAAAACCCAAATATTCAACATGCTATCATGTCAGGAGGGCAGATGGTATGCTTGACATACACATATGTAAATAAAATATAATTAAAACTCTCTGTGTTGCAGGTGATACCGTCATTTGAAGGCAGAAAAGGATATTGGTGCCAGGATGATAGGACCAATACAGCTAAATACTGAGGAGGAACACAAAATCAGAGGCCTGCAGATACACTTCTGCACATACCCTCATGAAACGTACAGTACCTGCAAAGATCAGTTTGCAGTGTTGCCAGAATTAGATACCAAGAAATGTTTTCAAGCCCCAACTCAGACTGCCACTGCAAAATCAGTAAACAACTCAGAACTTGTGGTACTGAAGCTGTATCAGAAAGAAGTGGGGAGACAGGTGAAGTTCAAACTGGTTCAAGTGAAGAGACCGAAAACATGATTTTGCAGGCTTTTCCCATCATTTTGCCCAGAGAAAGCAGACAAGGAGATTTCCTCGGCACTGAAGGGCAAAGCTCAGCACCTTGGGTGAGGCTGAAAAATAACTCAGAGTCTAGAGCTGTTGCATTTGGAGTAGACCTCCTCACTTTCTTTCCTGACAACAGACTTGCATTGCACCAAGAGAATGACCTCTGGCTCAAGAGGCAAGCTTCCATTTATTGCTCATTTACCTTTAACCTTCACTTTGCCTTGCAGCACTGAAGCCAGTGCCATATGCTATGACAGCAGCTGAGAACATGCAACAGTTGGATGAGATCTTCTAGGGACCGTAAGTACATGCAAAAACATTCCTGACCACTCTGCACTGCAGTTAAAGTTGAAAACGGGGTCTGTTGGAGGAAGGCATGACAAATGACAAATCAGAACTGAGGTGATTTCAGGGAAACTTTTATCTTACAACTAGAAATCTAATCCAGATTTCATGCCTTTTAATAAGACCTACAGGTACTGGTGCAGTCTGAACTGACATCACCTCCTCAACACCACAAACATCTGCTACAGCATCAGTCAAAGGAGCCTACCCACAGCAAGAAACACAGTGATGGTCTGAACTATTTTCAGAGAGAGATAACTGATAACACAACAATATTGGGGGTGGGGAGAAACCACCACAAACCTCATCTGGTTCAAATACAGTTTATCCTTTAAGTAACGTGCAGCAAGGAAGGTAGGTCAAGAACAAAAAAATTCAAAAACATACTGTGAGTACATGTGAAATTCACCAAAGAAAGAACAGGAAAGTAAACAAAACATTGATATCATATACCTGCATAAAGTTTTGGGTATGAATGAAATACTGGCCAATGTATCAAGTGACAAGATGCCTTCAACAAAGAGCTTCAAGACTTCTTCACTGAATGAAGACAGGATTACCTGAGGACTTGCATTGCTACTCACTGGTATTGTAAATTAATATTTATGACCAAGTTAGGAAGGTTATGAATGACTGCAACAAGAATCAGAAAAACATCACTACAGACAGGTTTCTTTACCTGTTGTATAAACTTCAGTTTAGACTGGGTTGTGAATATTTTCACAGAGGTAGAAAAAAACTAAAGATCTTGCCCAAGAATGATTCTTTTTAGTAATGTTTTATTTATGGCACTGTAAAACCCTCATTAATCCCTCACCTTCACTCTTTACTATGCAGTACTAAAGAGCATCAGGTCTACATTCAGTTTTGTAAAGAAAATGCAATGAAGAATGAACTTAACCTGACAAGTTACAAACATATTATTGCACAAGAAAGAGTACCTGTCTTGAACATGACTGAAAAACTCCTTCACAAAATTATATCTACCCAATGAGCTCTGTTAAACAGAGAGGCAATCTGAACTGACTCCTTGCCATGGTTTAACCCCAGCACCTCACAGCCTCTCATTCACTCCCCCGCAGTGGAATGGAGGAGAGAATAAGAAAAGTAAAAGTGAGAAAACTCGTGGGTTGAGATAAAGACAGTTTAATAGGGAAAGCAAAAGCTACGCACACAAGCAAAGCAAAACAAGGAAGTAATTCACTACTTCCCATCGGCAGGCAGGTGTTCAGCCACCTCCAGGAAAGCAGGGTTCCATCATGCGTAACAGTTACTTGGGAAGACAAACGCCATCAGTCTGAACATCCCCTCATTCCTTCTTCTTCCCCCAGCTTTATATGCTAAGCATGACATCATATGGTATGGAATATCGCTTTGGTCACTTGGGGTCAGCTGTCACAGCCCTGTCCCCTCCCAACGTCTTGTGCAACCCCAGCCTAGTTGCTGGTGGGGGGGGGGGGGGTGGGGGGA